CTTTAACATAAGCTAAAAAAAAAAAAGAAATGGATCACCTAGGAAGTAATAAGACAAACCTGTCAGGAATACCGAGCCTCTTAACCGAATGATACAACGAAAGAACATTTGCTACATGCCGATAATTAAACCAAAAACGTGAAGTGCAGACAAGCACCGCCCAATTATTAGTGTGACTAGAACTTTCAAAATGCTCCTTGACTCTCTCAATAACATCCTTACGAGCTGCAAACGCCCCTATTAAAACCAGCAAAAATCTCAACGCACCATACCTGAACATCTGAAACTTATAATTTTCAGTAGAAGCCCATGCATAGAATAGGATAAGTCCTGAGTCCTTGCAACATGATGATGAGTTAAGCAATATATTTTCTGCAGCGAAGCAGCAGTGAAACAGAAGTGAATAGAACTAGAGCGATCCAAAACAACATTTATACAAATCAGATAACCTGACAAATCTAGGCTGCATAAAACCATCTGAGAGAGTTCATTTCAATTCAATACTATCATTTGTAATTTCACGGGAACGTTAATAAAATAACGATTTAGTTGCCAAAACAAACAACAGCAGTTCAAAAATTGTTCTAACTCAACTTCTAAGAACTTACTACCAAATTTATTTCGAAATGAAGACGTGAGATGCAGCAACGAACAAAGAAAGTGTTAAACAACAAGTGACAAATAATATTAAAAACAGAAGTTCATATAAGTTTTTAACATCAATTAACACTTTGAATTAAGGTGATGTTGTCGCCCTTCAATAAAATTCTTCCGACTTTGTTTCGATTATTCGTTTTGATATTCACTTCTTCGGCTTCATCCAAAACGACATTCATATATTCGTCAAAGCCTGTTAAACATGTAGCATTTTAATACCTACTACAGGTAAAGAGCAGAAAACATCGAGCAAAAAACTTTTTTTACAAATTCGACTAATTGTCCGATTAAAAAACTTGAAAGTATAGTAGATTAATGCCAGCAGAAAAAATTGAATTAATAACTTTTGTTACAAACTGTTTGAAAACTATATGGCCATACCAATGATATATCCCTCAATCCGATGCGTAACATCTTCATAGAGCCAAATTTGAATACGAGATCTGTTTTGTAGGTACCTGAATATCAGGTTAATAGGTTGAACCATAACCTTCTGCACTTTACCAGCTCGTGCTGCCATTTTCTGTACAGTTTTTTCGAGATCTAAAATAAGATAAAAACCTGAGAGCAGAAAAGTTGAAAAATAATTAAACACCTGCTTCTGTAGTGCAGAAAGCTACAGTAAAATAGAAAACGCGTTGTACACAACCGGCTACTAACGCTGCTACTGCTACCTTAATTCGTCAAAAAATGAACTGAAGGTGAACAGGAAGTACCCGTCGAAAGATTTTAAAAAGTAAAAAATTTAAGACGATTAACGTACAAGAAAAAAAAGCAAAGAAAACACAAAAAGCAATCCGTAAAAGTACACAAAATCAATTAAACGAATCCGTAACCAACAACTTAATGCGAAATTTCAAAAGATCCACACAAAAAGAAAATTCTTTTTAAAAATGAAAATTGAAATGCGGCCAAGAAATTTTTTTGTTAGCAAATTTTTGCAGCCTTATATCGATGAAATTGATAAGTCTTCAAACTTATTTTACGGAAAGCTGGAGTGAGGCTTGCAAAATTACCTACTGTTTATTTCATCGTCCAGGATCCTCTTATTAAATGAGCAAAACGAAGTAAAGCTTACAATTATCTATCAGACATTTTCTTTCTCTAAAAAACCGTAGTTCCTGAAAATGCGTTGAATCTTCGTAGACTGCCGACTGTATGGACTTCAAAATTAAGCAGGCAAGTTGTTTCGGGGAACTTTTCTAGTCTAAGGAAACCATACTTAATCTTATAAGTTGAATATGGCTGCTAATCAGCAAATCAGAAAATGTAAGTTCTTTCTTGATTTCCAATCACTGTACGAAATTAATGGAATAAATGGTCTAACTATTCGCCGGACTCGACACATTAGTTCAATGCTGACAGAGGCCGATATTAATTCCCCAGAAATGCTCACTACCAATCGCTGTATACTGTTCCTTATTATACAGTCGAGAATTACACCGATATATCAGAACACCAGTAATATGTATTTTAGCTCCTTCTAACGCTTTCACGAAAACGATAAAGTTGAAACAAATAGTTGATAATGAAAAACAAAAAATGATGTTTTCAACAAAGCGTAGTTGACTTCCAATTTTTTTCGTTAGAAACTGAGGTTGTGGAAGAGAAAATGACCAGCATTCCTATTTACTCAGCGCAAATCCTTGTGAAAAGAAAATATTCGTTAATATTCACTTTCACTGTAAGGTTAATAGTACAGTGTCAGGGATATTACCATTTCTAGGATTTTGCGAAGTCGCTGAAACGTTCACAAGGATGGTGAACATGCGAAAATGAATTGTTAACTGATTATGTATTTTACTGACATAGGCAGTCATTTTGGAGGGCTTATTCACGTATCAACGAAACATTTGGCTAAC